GGTAATGCATTTGGAAGCTTTTAGGAGTCTGATGAGAAAATATGTCCCAAATGAGGAGATGGACCTGGAACTTTAAAGGATCAATGCCATGGAAATATTGGTGGAGCTGTTATATCTTCTTAGACCTAGTATATAATTATTTGAGAATCAGAAATCTATCCTAAACTTTTTAATGATCCTTTCTATAATTACTTCCATTCCCCCATTATGCCATTCTATACTATTGCTCTAAGTAGATAACCAAAATTAGGATTCAAGCTCAAGATATCAAACTCAAAATAAAAAACTTCTCATTGTTCCCATGACCAAAACATGTTCCTCCACTTTTTAAAAATTGTATTACCATATTCCTATTTGCCCTGAGTCTAAGAAACTCTCAGCATTCATTGAACCATTCCTCTGTCTTGGTCTCTACCCTTAAACATCAAGTCTTAACAGTTCTATCTCATATCTTTTCCATATGCATCTCCCTTCCTTCCTCATTTCTGATGCCTTAGTTCAGCAGACCCTCATTATCTCTAGCCTGAAACAATTTCCTTAATATCTCTCCCTGTTCCCATTCATCCTAAACAGTGTGGCCAGATTAACTTTCCTGAAAGAAAGCTCTAATTCATCACCTTACTGTGCAAAAAAACAGTTAGTGGTTCCTCCATCACCTTCAATATAAAGTTCGAACTCCTTAGACAAAAGTGAAAGGGCCTCCATGATCTGAACACGACCTACTTTTTCAGTCTTATATCCTATATGCATCTTTTCTTTAAATTTAGATCCTGAACTGCTGGCTGTTTTAATGTTCTCTGCCTATTCTTTCTGCCTGAAATGTCTCTCCTCTCAATTTCTGTCTATATAAATCCTTTCATTCTCCAAGACCATCTAAGACCCATTTCCCTATAGAACCTTCCAATGGCTTCCAACGAGAAGTAATTTTTCTATCTAGTAAATTCCCATAACATTATATCTATATAGTTCTACGGAATTTATCATATACTAGACACTGAATTAGAGCTCATTTTTATGTGCCTTATATCTCTTACTAGAATATCAATTATTAAAAGTTAGAGACTATTGTTTTATTCATTATGGATGTACCATATCATCTAACATAGGAGTTCTTAACTGGTTACATAGATAGAATTCAGGGGATCTCTAAACTTTTATGGACAAATTATTTTTCACTAACCTGTATTGAAAATTTGCATTTCCTTAAATTATAGATGCAAGCAACAAACCATACTGTATTTGTAGTTCCTATGACATTGTTACCAATAGTATCACAATTTATATTTTTATATAACATTATACTTGGAGGTATCTCGAAATACCTTTTATGCTTATCACTGCTTAAAAATTGTTATACTGTTAGGCCCTCTGTAAGATCTTGTTTTTAATGCATTAGTAGAATAGCATATTCTACCATATCACAAATGTTTTAAATGATTTACTGTTCAATATAATTCATTATATCTGTAATCTGTATATTTTACCTTATGAATTTAAAATAATTTTAAGAAAAGATCTGTAGGCTTTACTACACTATCAAAGGAATTCACAAAAAGAAAAATTAAGAATCCTTGAGTTTTAATACAATGCATTTCACAGAAGAATATGTAGAAAAATAATCAAAATACTATGTAGTCCTTGAAAAATGCTGTAAAAAGGTATACCATAAGCTGTAGAATATTTTATAAGAAAGTTTATAAAAATTCATTATATTGGTGTTGAAAAAAAGATCAAACTTCTGTCCTCTACAACACCTCTATTAAAATGACAATAGAGATTGCTGCATATCGCCAAGGATAGACAAGTTACTGTCTTCCAAAGAATAATATTTCATATAGACAGCTACAACTGTTAGCTAGTTGGTCTTATCAACCACAATCAGGTTCCTCTTAACTTCTTTTCACACATCTGTATTCTATCCCCAGGAAGCTAGACAGTATAAACCCAATTCTTCCTCCAAGTGACTTCACTCTTTAAAGACACCATCACATCATCTTTGATTTGCTTTTCTCTGGGATCAGTATTACTTACTCCTTCAACCATTCTCTTTATTATATAATTTCATCTCTGTGATTATTCCATTTGTTCTCTGAGAATATCCCAATGCCTTTGAGTTCCTCTTAAAGTGTGGTAATTCTGAACTCAACACAATAATTCAGAAACATTCTATTGAGCAGGAGTTTAGTGGTACTACCACCTCTTGAATGCATCATAATGTACTTCTAGTGATGCTGAATAAAATAACACTGGAAATTTGTCAGCAATATTCATCAAGTTGACCCCATTGCATTTTCTGTCACTTAACACTCATAAGGTTTTTTTGTTTGTTTGTTTTGTTTTATTTTGTTTTATCATTCATCTGGCTGTTATTTGAATTTTCTTCAGTAATTACCTGTGCAGCTGGGATTTGGGTCACAACTTCTGAACTTGATAATAAGATCTATTACATTTTATCATGATAGGCTATTTTTAAGTTTATAATTTCTGTTTGTCAAAAACATTTTGAGTTTTGTTTCCTTCATACATTACATTCACTGTTCCAGGTTTGTGAGATTGGTAAACTTAATAGCATGCTTTCAGTCATTTCATTTGCACTTAATATGTTTAGATTATGTACATTAATATATACTAAAGATACCTGAATTTCTGATGTCTAAAACATATATATTGCAAAAAAAATCTGTAGAATATGAAAAAATGCATTACTAGTAGAAATACAGTAACAAAGAACTCTTAAAAAACTACTATCTCATTTTGTGTCTCTCATACAAAAATCAACTATAACATATGGTAACAAAGAGGATGAACAGAAAATCAACCATTATTTGCAAGGAAAAAATTATTTAAAATTCCCCAGTAGTCCAGAAAAAAATCATCACCAATCAGTGTCTTTATTTTTACATTAAAGAACCCTCCAAAGTATTTGAAAACCACTTACTTATAAAACGAAAACCATCTTTTGGTGGATCACAATTAAAAGTAATCTAGCAATCTCACTTATTCAGTGTATAATTATCTGGCAATCCCCATTATTCAGAACACAGCCAAGAATACGGAAAACAAAGTCTCACAAGCCAAAAGTGTCAGCATGTAGTTCATGCATTAAAGACCATATGTATTTCCCAGAATCTCTCAGCAACACCTCCAGAATATACTTGTTCATATTTCAAATACAGTCTAGAATGTCCTGATTATCTAATTTTATAATCTATAGATAAATAGGAGAAAATTAGAAATTATTTACAACTAAGCAAGAAATAATAGCCAGCAACCTGATACTGAAGGAGAAACCAACACATGCATCAAAAAATATATACATATATACAAATACATATATATATATGCATATATCTCAAGCAGACACAAGAACTCTTTCATAATTGCAAAAAAAAAATAACCATAAAACTCCTAATAATCTCAACGATTTCTAGAGGCATCATTATATTATAGCACAATAAAATAATTGACATTTATAATATATCAGTTATATATAATATATACAATAAGTCAAATTTATATAGTTTATAGTTAATATTTATATAGTTTATAGTTAATTTAAAACATTCATTATTATAATTAATTCTCAAAATGTTTAAGTTGCCAAGTTAATTACCAAATTTTAAATTTTGTGGCTTAAATAGATTGAAGAATTTACCCAGGGCCACAAAATTGTTTGAAAAGTACTGAAGTTCCTAGTCTACTTATTATGACCCTGGATCATCAAGAAATATATACATTTTGTGACATATAACCTGATTAGTGAAACAGGGAAGCATGCGATATATTTTAGAAAGACTGCTACAAAAATTAATTGGAATCTTTTAAGCTTTTGAGTCCTTAAAAGGATAAAATTGTTACATGAAAAATTCCCTAATATAAAATCTCAATTTGTCTATAATATCACAAAACTCTCAACTTAGCATGCAATACTAGAAATATATCCAGAGCTATTAATTACTCTATATTTTCAGGTCTAAAATCTGTACATAAAAATGAAAGTGCAACATAGTATAGCCATCACTTAGACTTGATTCATTTTGTTTAAAAATACTATTGGAGAGTCTTTTTTTGTTTATGATTTCTGCTTATTCTAGGACGTAGGTGAAACCGAGTGAATTCTTGCATAGAGTAGAGAAGGTAGATGTGGGATGTTCCAAGAGATGTCATGTAACCAAGAAGTCACTCTTATGCATTTAGCTTTAACAATATTTGAAGCCCTCAACTCTCCATTTTACAGTGTTATGAGATAAAATAATGTATTTATAAAAATAAAGAGAAATAAATCTTTTTAATTTTGTTGTTTGTTTGTTGACGGAGTCTTGCTCTGTTGCCCAGGCTAGAGTGCAGTGACACGATCTCAGCTCACTACAACCTCCACCTCCTGGGTTCAAGTGATTCTCCTCCCTCAGCCTCCCGAGCAGCTGGGACTACAAGCACTTGCCACCATGCCAGTCTCATTTTTATATTTTTAGAAGAGACGAGGTTTCACCATGTTGGCCAAGCTGATCTTGAACTCCTGACCTCAGGTGATCTGCCTGCCTCAGCCTCCCAAAATGCTGGGATTACAGATGTGAGCCACCATACCCACCCTAATTTTGTTTTTTAAACACTTGATATTTTTATAAAGAAATACTATCCACCAAAAGGAAATAAGGGAGAAAAAATGAAAAATAAAATTGCAGTTAGGAAAAATCCCTTACTACCTTTTTCCAGAGTAAGGATTACGTTAAGTTTAAAACCTTAACTTGTTATCTTAAGAACCAAATAAAATACATAAAGTTTTAGAAAAATGGAGCTATCTGTTTAACACTCCTAATGGATCACTATCTGCCATCACCATGGTAACCTCTGAATAACTTTTTCCTAGCTGGTGCCAATTATGCACTTCTCCAGCCCTTGAAATCCCACTCTTTTTTTTTTTTTTTAAGACCTAGAATCTTTAGGGGAAAAAATAAAATAAATTAAAAAAAAAAAAGCCCAACAGTGAAGTCCACACATACCCTCTTGTTCAGTCCGAGTCATTTCCTCAAGCTTCTTCTGTTTCAGTGTGTCCACCACATCAGCAAGACTCCCTTTGCGGCGTTCTGGGGTTCCAAAAGTAACACTGGTCATTATCTCGCGGTCCCGACTCCCTTCGTCAGGCTTATGTGGTGAGGTAGAGGTATTTCGGAAGGAATATAGGGAACATAACTTATTATTCTCTGATTCCTAGGAAAATAAAATAAAATGAAACCATTAGAATATAAGTTTCTTTGCATGCTACTGAAGAAAAAAATCCCAAACTCATGACAGTATATGATGCTTAGTAGACAAATAAAACATATTAATTAAAATAAAATATAAGTAACTTAGTAGGACAAATAAAAAATATAATTCTGATTAAACAATACTGATCAAACAAATTATAATTAAGCAAAACATTAAAGAAGCAATTGTCAAATGAACTAAAGTGAAGTTGGAGATTTAAATTGTTTAGTTTTTTGAAATATAAAGTAGTATGTGTTCAAAAGCAAACATTTCAACTCTTTACTCATTTAGACCTTTCATTTAAATTAGTTCAGATTCAATGACTAATTATTAGGATTGGTAAAGATTTTCTTTTAATTGGGCACTTTTATTAGCAACACTCTTCCCATAGCATTAAAAGACGTACATCACAAAAATACTATCCTTTAGTTTAGAACCAGTAGAAAAGTTAGCTTCAGTAGCCAAAGTTTATTGTTCACCAGAAAATATATAAATTATCTAAATCAGTGCCAGAAAGTTAGTCAACCTGAATTTTTTGTGTGCTGGGGTTTAGAGAAAACTTTTCGTTTTGGATTTTCTAGCTATACATCTGTCCAAAGTTACAGAAGTCTGTTTGTATTCCTTACCCTTACCACTGATACTTCAGCACAGTTTTCATGTGGCATTTTAAAATGTCTTTTTTTTTTTTAACAAAAGGACAAGTTCATCCTCAGATGAGAAGTAATTTTTTTTTTTAAAGGACAGGCTTATTACAGAAATACTTGTGCAGGAATTACTTCATAGTATAGAGAAGTTAGCTAACTGCTAAAAGGGTTAGATGAGTCAGCTGAAAAGGAAAAGCAAATCGTAGGTAAAAAATAAACACCTAAAATTTATAGAAATAAAATATTTTTATATGGCTTTAAATTGAAACTGAGGGTTGGACATAGCTATTATTTGGAAATAGCCCTTCAGTAGCCTTGCATTCACCTTTTATCTGTTTGTACAAGGGTATTCTCTCTCCCTATATTTATTTTTTTTTAAGTGCATAAGGTAAATTAGCCAGTCTTTGTGATCATCATCAGACTCCTAAATATCCGAATTGCTCCTCTATCTCTTTCCTTCACAAGGAAGCCCAGAAAGAGTCAAGAACTAGAGGACAAGCATGAAGAAAAAGTTATACAGTTAATAACTAATAGGAAAAGGGGAGAAAAGGAAAATAATATCTAGAGCAGTAAATTTCTACATCTATAAATGACATAATAATTATACTCTACAAATGCCAGGTATTTAGGATTATTGCCATGTATATAAGATGGGATGAAATGTATTTTCAGGGTTATAGAAAGCACATAATGAGATAACAAAACACATAGGCATGGTGCTGGGCTCACAATACTGAAATGGTGTTTAACAACTGGTAGGTACTATTTTCCTGAAGGAAGGAGCAGATCTAGGAATGGGACCAAAGAGGTTTTTCTTCCTTCTGAACCTGAGGAATTGTGAAGTAAAAAAATGTTTCTGAGTCTCGAACTAAGTTAAATATTGTGAAAAATCTGAATATATTAAAAACATTTGCGTTGTATACATTAAATGGGTAAATCGTATGTAATATTTATTATATCTTAATTAGCCGAATCTTTTTTTTTTGGAGGGGTTATCAATTAGCTGAATCTTTTGATTAAGAGCTAAATCTTATTTTTTTTTCTGCATACCCATTGCTAGTACAATGCCCAGAACAGAGCAGCTCAACGTATTTGTGCTGAAGTAAACAGAAAAGGATAAAATAAATGGGGCAAAGCAGGGAACAGAGCTCTTCTTTACCTTTCTTCTAGATCCCTTCCTTCATCCAGGAAAGATGTTTTTTTTTGTTTTGTTTTGTTTTTGTTTTTGTTTTGTTTTGTTTAGTAAATCTACTTTACTACTAAAACCACAATGTGAACATTTCTTCATATTACTAAATTCTTTTGTAAATTCTGATTTTTTTTTAAAAGAGATGGGGATCTCGCTATGCTGCCCAGGCTGGAGTGCAGTGGCTAGTCACAGGTGTGTCTTACTACTGATCAGCATGAGAATTTTGACCTGCTTGGTTTTTGTCCTGGGTTGGTTCACTCTTTCTTAGGCAACCTGGTGGTCCCTTACTCCATATTAATGCTGAACTTGGTGCAAGTAGATGATCATAGGGTGTATTACAGCCTAGAGCTCCTTGGCTCAAGTAACACTCGCAGCTCAACTCTGCCTCCCCAGCAGCTGGGACTACAGGCACATACCACTGTACAATGGTCATACAGTATTCCATTGTGAAATGCACCATAATAACCTGTCTTTTGTTGTTTGACATCTACTTCTTGTCCATGTTTTATTATAAATAGTGATTTGATAAACATTCATTGTGTTCATTTATTTTCTGTTGGAGATCCATTCCTGGAGGCAGAGTTAAGGTTAAGAACACTTCTTTTTTTATTGCATTTTAGGTTTTGGGGTACATGTGAAGAACATGCAAGATTGTTGCATAGGTACACACGTGGCAGTGTGATTTGCTGCCTTCCTCCCCCTCACCTATATTTGGCATTTCTTCCCATGCCATCCCCCCCAACTCCCTACCCCCCACTGTCCCTCCCCTATTTCCCTCCAACAGACCCCAGTGTGTAGTGCTCCCCTCCCTGTGTTCATGTGTTCTCATTGTTCAACACCCACCTATGAGTCAGAACATGCAGTGTTTGATTTTCTGCTCCTGTGTCAGTTTGCTGAGAATGATGGCTTCCAGGTTCATCGATGTCCCTACAAAGGACACGAACTCATCGTTTTTGATGGCTGCGTACTATTCCATGGTGTATATGTGCCACAATTTCCCTGTCCAGTCTATCATTGGTGGGCATTTGGGTTGGTTCCAGGTCTTTGCTATTGTAAACTATGCTGCAATGAACATTCGTGCGCATGTGATGTGTCCTTGTAGTAGAACTATTTATAATCCTTTGGATATATACCCAGGAAAGATGTTTTATCTCACTTAATATTTACAAGAATTCTGTGAAGTGATGCAGAGGAACCCCTTCTTTTAGATGCCAGTCATGGCTAGTAGATGGCTCCTTGGAATGGCCAGTTCATTCTCCACTTGTGCAAATGAAATGCAGAGACATCTGTGTCAAAGCCATTTAGACCTCCTAATAAAGTCCATATTAGACATCTGACCAAAGCATTTATGAATTAATAATCACCATTTGATCAATCATACTTCAGATGCTTTTGTTTCAAACCCAAATTATTGTCACATTATACCTGCCTCCCCCTCCCCCCCGCAAAAAAAAAAAAAAAAAAAAAAAAAAAAAAAAAAAAAAAACACCTCTAGCTCAACCTAAGGGATTAAAGAACAAGTCAAAACAGTAATATGTGGAAGTGGTTACCTACAAATGACTCACTACTGACTATAATAAAGGAGTTTTTCCCATCACTGACAAACTGAAATTGAAAGATGCTAAGAGAGGCTCTCCAGCCTGCACCACAGACAATAACCATGGGTTCCTTATTATAATGATAACCCACACTGTTCTCAGCCTGGTAATCTGTGCAAAGTGGCTCAACACTACCAAACAGTAGAGAACAAGAGGCTAGAGAGTCATGATTTCCCCCCAAAAGCCACAAGAATTACTTGCAATATGTCACCAAATTATAAAAATAGGCACTAAATAAAAATAAATGGCTTAAGTTGTGTAAGTCATGTTATACCATGCTAACAACAGTGGGAAGGGGCAAAATTTTCCATTTCCAGCTATCACTTTTTAACTTTCTAAAACTTAACAAATACTAACCTTTCATAAATGTTAGTCTGTAAGCAATTCATCTGGGTTAAAGGAATACATAAATTAATAAACTTATAATAGCTTACTGTCTAATATGAAGTCAATAATGCCAAGTTTTTAAAAAATCTTGACAATCTCTAGTTTTTTTAAGGAGGCTATATAATTTTGAAGTAAATTTTATTAAGAAAAAACACCCAGATTATTTTGTAATTTCCTAAAAACAAAACAGGTCCAATGACACACCAACTGAGACAAAATATCTGATACAGTTTGGATTTGTGTCACCGTCCAAATCTCATGTTGAATTGTAATTCCTAATGTTGGAGGAGAGGCTTGGTGGGAGGTAACTGAATCACAGCAGTAGACTTTCCCCTTGCTTATGATAGCAAATGAGTTTTCAGAACATCTGATTGTTCAAAAGTGTGTAGCAACTTCCCTTTCTCTCTCTTTCTTCTGCTCCAGCCATGTAAGATGTGCCTGCTACCCCTTCACTTTCCACCATGATTATAAATCTGAGGTCTCCCCAACCATGCTTCCTGTATAGCCTGAAGAACTGTGAGCTATTAAACCACTTTTTTAAATAAATTAGCCAGTCTCAGGTATTTCTTTAGAGCAGTGTGGGAATAGACTAAACCAATGTCCAATGATAATATCTACCAATTCTTAATGCATGTCATTGCAGCATTGCTGTCAAGAGACTTGAGATAATATTTCCCCTAAAGCAGAGGTTCTCAAGCTTCAATGTGTAGAATTATCTGGCAAGTGTGTTAAAATGCAGATTCCTTCACCCAATACAACCTTCCAAAATGATGGGGCCAAGGAATATGAATATTGATGAACATCCCAAGTGATTCTGATGCACAGTTCCTGACCCCACTTTAAGAAATATTGCTCCCTAAAAGACAATGAAATAAGTATGTTTTGCCTTAATATTATAATGTGAATATAATGGTGTAAAAATTTTTAAAGCTGGTTGTGATTCTTACTTCTCTTCTTTTGATCTTTCTTTTGAAAATCAACAAACATTAAAAAAAGCTCATCATCACTGGTCATTAGAGAAATGAAAATCAAAACCACAATGAGATACCATCTCACACCAGTTAGAATGGCAATCATTGAAAAGTCAGGAAACAACAGATGCTGGAGAGGATATGGAGAAAGAAGAACATTTTTACACTGTTG